CAGAAGTTAGGCAATAAAAGATGATAGATGTGGTTGTTCTCACGATAGAATGTAATACAAGCGACTAGAAGTCATACCTTGAGCATCAAACATATCGTTAGTCGACATCATGAAAAATCGATGAGGAATATTGGAATCTAATAAAAGTGAACTATTGGCTTGGTCATTTACTTAAAATAGTGGGATTAGACAATTGGGAAGCAATTGGGAAGATGGGCATCGGAGGACAAACAATGATGTTTTTCAGCATCCGGCAATGGCGAATGATGGTGGACAAATGTGTCAAGTATTCTAAGTCTATCTTATTATTTGACTTGATACAATAAATCTTATGTCATTCCATCCAGTGGTTTACTAAGTATAGCATTTCATGTTAATCTTATTCTAACCATAAAGATGATTGGTGAGGCCTAGAACTAGCACCATTAAAGATGGATGAAAGATGTTTGAATATCTTCCCAAGAGGGTAAAGAAGGGAGTGAAAGCTTTGGTGATAGTAGGGAATAAATCGTGTTAAAGTACAGGCGAATTGGATTTAGGTAGGACAAGATTAGGTCAAACCTAAGGGCACACCATAATCAACATTAGAAATTTAGTGCTAGAGATCTGGCCTTGGGATCACTTAGAATAGTGATGTAATGAGTTGTGTGACCTAGAATCTTTCATCATTTTTTAGGGCTTCGAAAGTATTTTTAATAGCGGTTGAAACAAGATTAGGTTTTATGAAAGCCAACGACGACAAGTTAGATTTTTACATGGATGGAGTTAAGGCAAGGGTAAAAGGCTGGAAACAATCTTGATTGATAAAAAATCATGTTTAGATTTTGCAGGAGTTTTTCACAAATTTTCAGAGGCTTAGGGTGTTAAATTGGCCAAAAGAACACAAAGGATTGTTTTGATGGGCTTAAACTATGTTTTTCTTTGGATTTAGTGCAAGAAATGATAAGAAATTTATATGATTGTGTGGAGGAAGATTACTACTAGGGAAATTAAAATTTGACACAAAAGATGTAATCCAATCACACTAAAGTTGGAAAAATTGAAGGGAATCATTAAATCCCTTCCTATAAATGGCCAAAAACTAAGCCTCCTTTCTCTTGAAAATGATACCAATGCTTTAATAAAGCAAAATTAATCCTTTTTCATTCCTTCCAAAAAGCTTTCATTAGTTCTTTACAACAATAATTTCAAACATGACAAATGATGAGAAGATGATCTAATTTCCATAGAGGGAGAAATTTAAATTTCACACAAAAGATGTAATCTTATCACACTAAAGTTGATAAATTGAAGGGGATCATTAAATCCCTTCCTTTAAATGGTCAAAAACTAAGCCTCCTTTCTTTTGAAAATGACATCATTACTTTAATAAAGCAAAATTAATCCTTTTACATTCCTTCCAATAAGCTTTCATTAGTTCTTTACAACAATAATTTCAAACATGACAAATGATGAGAAGATGATCTAATTTAAATTAGAGGGTATAGCCAACCCCCCCACCCCCCCCGAAATGCCTTAGCCGACCCACAAAGATGGAAAAAATATTTTATTTGCCTTATTTTATACAAAAAATATTTCACATCAATGTAAATAAAATACATCTATTTGTAAAAATCTAATCTTCAAAATTTCAAAGTGCTAAAATTTTGAAATCCAATCTCTCTTTTTTTTTTTTTTTTTTTTGAAACCCAAATGACAAACAGTCCTATATAATCATAATAATAACATAAAAATTACCATATCTAAAGAAATGTTTCTAATAAAAAGACTTCATCTTGCTCCTAAATATAGGCCCTTATTTAGTTTCATATTTTTATTTTACTTTGTGCCCTGGTGATTGGTTTTTTGTTTTCTCTGTTGGCAACTTATGTGACATCAATGATGACAATTCCACTTTGGATGATTGGTCAGTAGAAGAAGAGTGGTTTCTGGAAAGTCCTCACACACCAGCACCCATTTCAGTGAAGCTACCATCTGTATTGACCTTAATAGTGTGATACATAGGTGGTTTCCAAAAAACCTTACAGATTTGAGGAGTTATATTTTCTGTGGGGTATGAATTGGAGATATTGGGAAAACTTTTATGTTTGATCAGCTTGTGTAGGTAAGCTACACAGTTTTTGACTACCTTAGCAGTATTAGATAGGATACCCTCAAATTTAGCATTATTTCTAGTCATCCAAAGAAAAAAGGCCACTATAAATGGGTAAGGAGCATATTTTGAATCATGTCAGTTCAGCCAGCAGGTAGTAAGTTTGTCTCAGCTAAGATAAGTGACATTAATATTCAGGTGTTGAAGAAACTGGTTCCAGACTTTCTGGGCAAAGCTACATTCAAAGAAAAGGTGAGGCAGTGATTCCTCCTGTAAGCACAGCCAAAAATCTAATCTTCAAAATTTCAAAGTGCTAAAAATTTGAAAGCCAATCTCTCTTTTTTTTTTTTTTTTTTTTTTTTTTTTTGATACAAAAATTAAAAAATCCTATATAATCATAATAATAACATAAAAATTACCATATCTAAAGAAATGTTTCTAATAAAAAGACTTCATCTTGCTCCTAAATATAGGCCCTTATTTAGTTTCATATTTTTATTTTACTTTGTGCCCTGGTGATTGGTTTTTTGTTTTCTCTGTTGGCAACTTATGTGACATCAATGATGACAATTCCACTTTGGATGATTGGTCAGTAGAAGAAGAGTTCAAGGAGAACTTAAAAAGAACCAAGTAAAGGATCCAAGCTACAAGGCTCAAATAATTTAGTGTATGTTGTAACTTAGTTAGTAGTTATAAATTGATTGAGCAATTTTATCAAAGTTGTCAAAAAAGATAAAACCATACCTAAAATTAATTTAAATACAGCTTATATATTATTCTATATGAATCTATGATATTTGAAAATTTATTATTATTTAGTTTCTATTTATATTATTTATTGGTATTTATTATTATAAATTACATTAATTAAGAATCATATGCTAACAATTTATTCTATCTCATAATTAATTATCAACATTATTAAAAATTAAGTGAACTTAAACTCCATAGTTATATCATTAAATATCATTAAATTTATTATTTACATGTTATTATGCTTAATTATAAATTAGCCATAATTAACTTATGTTTTTTTTTTTTGCTTAAAACTTTTATGGTATGTTCCTAACAAAAAAAAGGGATTTTGTGCACATTTAATTTATCTAAAAATTCATGCAATGATAAATGATAAGAAGCAAAATTATCTTATATTAACAAATTCAGGCTTAATTCATATTCCATTGGATTAATTGAGTTTTCTTCTTTACTTGCTATTAAAATGATGTGCTAACTAGCCCTCACAGTTTCCTTTTGTCCATTGTGCTAGCCAATGGAAACCTGATTTGGTGAGATCTTTTGAGGATAATCAAGTGAAGAACAAAGTCTTCTAAGAGCCTCCAAAAGAAGTTTATAAAATAGCAAATCATCCTTTCTACTAAAATTTCATAGTTTGGTAACATCTCTTTAAAACTCTAGTTCAAAAGTAAAAAGTTTTTCATTATATCAACGTTCATTTGTTTTAAATAGATTACATTAAAATTATAGGAAATAATAATTAGATAACCAACGTTAAAAAGGACATTGGTTTGATATTTTTCATCTATTTTAGAGATTGGGAAGCCTAAGCTTATTAAAGTTGGGCATTTGAGTTGAAGTCGCCTGAATGAAGAGTGTGCTATGAGACTTCTCTATCATTAAAGAGCTGGCCTTTTAGCTGCAAAACAGGATAATAGGAATCCTAGTCCATTGGAGGGATCTAAGCATGTATGTAAATTTTGAGATTAACAAAATAATATAACTATTCTCGTGTTTTAACTTTTTGTATTATTTACTTATACCTTTGTTTCAATTTAAATTTATTTATTCACAAGTTATTATTTTAATTGTTTGAGAATTTAAAATGTTGAGGGGAATGTAATACTTTCTCTTGTGCCAGCTTTATAATTATTTTACTAGTTCACTTAAACTTGTATAATCTCACATTTAACTCATCTTATAGTTCACAATACATGCCTTCGTGATCAAATTTAGGGTTCTGCACTTGAGTAAATTAAAAAATTAAGAAATCATTGACCTACAATGAAAGATTTATATTCCATAGAACCAAATTATTTAATTAACTAGTGTGTATGAGGTCAAATATAGTTATGTTAATGATAAGGTTGAGATGCATACACTAATTGTATTAATTTATTCACATTAGAAGATCATTTCTCCTATATTTTTATACATTGTTTGGGTCTTTAATTTGGTTATTTATTTATAATATTATTAGCTTTCACTTAGTCTTTCAATTTTATGTGTTTAGTTTTCATCGGTGTTATTATGAATATTTTGAATTGATATTGAAAAAATTCAAAAAATCCCACCACACGATTAATTCATCCCCATCTTGGTGTGCCTTTATTTATCAATTGATGTCAATCCCGATACACCTCTCTCCATCCCTCCATTCTCCCTGTTTGCTCGTAGTTGTTGGGCACCAAATCTCTCTCTCAATCTTCTCTCTATTTGCTTGCAATTGTAGGATTCCAAACCCCTTATTACAATGCTTTATATATAGTAATAATAAGTCATGAGGTTGGAAACATAAAACTAATTACAAGATTCCACAAAACTATAAATATCTTCTAAAATCAACAAAAGATCTCATATTCCCATGAAATATATATATAAATCACAATCCAAATTTGCAATAAATAAAAGATCAAAATTATATCTTATTGAGATTTAACAATGACAACTTTGACTCCAAATGTTTTATTTTAATGATCGAAATATGTGAATGGCTGAACCCAAAATGGCCCTCTAATAGCAATATGGATAAAGTGCATCATAAAACGATTTCCTCGACAAATATACGTTGCCCTTGAAAGCAAAAAAATAAATAACCAACAAAATGATCATAGATATAAAGAGAAATATGCTTCCAAATTAATGTAATGACATGAAACAAAAAATCACAGACCTGAAATTTCACTCCGCTGCCCACTATTACTTATGCAAGGAGGCTCAACCCAATCATATGCTTTCACATGGATAGAACCATAAAGAATCTTGCTTAACACAGTCATTCCAGGGTGATCATGAAGTGGAATCACAGATGAGGTTGGAAGGCAAAATATGCCGATCTGCAAAATTAAATGAAACCTGTGACAATTACAATTAAACATTGATAGAAATTGATCGATCATTGTTCTTAATATTCAGAATCAGCAAGTTCGTAGAATTTAGGACCATGGGTTTATTATTACGGCCTAAAGGCAAAGGGTATTACCAAGTAAGACCTAATTATTTTTTATATCCTTATAAGAATAAAAATAAAGGAACGAGGTAATATCACTAACCCTAATGCAACTAAATTCAAACAAAAATTTAGGTGAAGATACTACAAACATCTCAGGTAGTCAGAATCAAAAACTCATTAAGCGGTCATTTGGTAGGCTACATTTATAATGCATGCGTAATAAATCCCAACAAAATAAATGCAGTCGATTTACTTTTAGTTACATTTATTTCACCACAAATTTGTGAAAGAAATAAACTAGGAAGTAAACATTACTCCAAACCAAGGCAAAACAATTATTTTCCATGTAAATGCTAACACTTTTCATTTAATTCTCATCAAACCAAAATAGCCCAAACAATTCATTCATCCCCCATTTTTCAACTTTGTCGCTTCATACCATTCATCAACAATACTTTATTATGCTGTATCAAAAAAAGTATTTGTCTTAGTAGACTTGTGGTGCAATTATCTTAATAAACTCCCAAGTAGTAATCTTTGAAACTTTTTTGAATCATCTGCTTTCTATCTTCTAAAACAAAGGTTTGTAGTGCCAGATTTGAAAGAAAAAGCACATTTGCAAACAGCAACAAAAACAACAACAACAAACCTTTATCCCACTAAGTGGGGCCGGCTACATGAATCATTTTTCTCCATTGCATCCTATTGAGTGTCTTATTTTCATTTAATTCTAATAAATTAAGAAAAAGCACATCTGCAAAGCAAGAACAAAAATTTCTTGAAAAATAAACATTAGGATGTACTTACAGTAAAACTATCGCATTCATATATATCCAAGTATGTTATTGGTTGAGCCCATTGAGCAGCTCTAACTAAACTCTTGAAAGGATTAGATTCAAAAAAGCCATGTCCTCTGTCATCATCAAGAACATCTTCTTTAAGTCCTACTTCTGCCGGACTAATTGTATCTGAATAAGAATGGCCAACCTACCGGTTATAGTGCAAATCAAACGAATGATGCACCGTAAGCTATGAAATAGTTCAGTAGGTACAAATCATACTAAGTTTACATGAGTAAGGAATCAAGAAAGATACAAATTACATAATTTCCCAGACATAATTGAACATAAATAAAATTCTTATATCCATATTACAAGAGATTGATGAAAATAAACCTGGAGTTCATCGTACTAGAAGAATTATCAGCTTCATAGATAACCCATCTGTGATTTTGTGACTACCAAAGATGTGGATTAATAAATATTTTGAAGGACTGTACCTGGTTAAGTTCCGGCTGCTTTATCACTTGATAGATTAAGCAGTGAACTCAATCAATATTTAGAATAGCAAAGGCGTAGTGCAAGGCATTTAGCTTTCATGGGACAATATAAGCCTCATGAAGGGACATATACGTAAGTACCACACAATTCCTATGTAGTAACATGTAAAACACCTAAACAATATGACTTTAACATTTATAAATATCACTACTACAAATTCTAAAAAAGTCAAATAAAAATTTCTTTCATAAGTGCTATAAAATATAAAAGCAAGGCTGCCATGTAAGAGATAATCAAATATGCACATAGCTTCATCATCATGAAAAACAACAATAAAAAGGCAACTATAGGCTAAAAAAAGAAAAAGATAAGTTGACATAAATCATTACTGGTTTCCATACAAAAGAGATTTGGCTTCAAAATTAGATTTATAAATAAATGCAGGACCACTTTTATATAGTACTTGCAAAAAAAATTTTGAATGCAAATGTCATTTCTTCCCTGTTACAAGGCATTATAGAAGAAAACAAGGGAAACTAAATGAGCAAGTACAAGATCCCGCTTTCCGCAAGCAACTCTAATAGCTACTAAAAAGCAGACTCCAAACAAGATCCTCAGCAGCTTGAAGGACAGCTGACGGACAAGCTAAATTGGGAAGCTAAATCCAACTAGCACTAGTCATAGAATCTCCCAAGCAAGTATGCTTTGGTCGATAATTATGCCAATACCTGAAAGGTGAACTCGCAAAAATGCATTCGACAAATACTGTATGAGACTCCTATAATCTATTTGAGGAGCTTGCAAATATGATCTCAATTATTCAGCCTTTGTTCCTTCAAAGTTGTTTTATATCAGACTTACACACTGATGTTCAAAAAGATGTGTGTGTTACAACTACAAATATTAGTTCAAGCTTTTTAATCAGCTAAACTAATGGAGGATGGATTCATGAATAAGTGGATCGACAAAGAATTGCAAATTCTTTGACGATCTAGTCCATTACAACGATTTTAACCAAATCTAGTCGGAAAAATGCAGAGTCAACGTCAAATAATAAATCAAACTTGCCGGTCCATCTTCTAATTGCAAACCAGTATGAGAAAAGAAATCTTAGAAGCCTTTCTCTTCTCCCATCGTAACGATAAGTATCATTGAGTGCATGAGCAGTTTTCTGAAAGAAGAATTGATGAAGATAGCAATAGCATTCAGAATAAAAGAGAGTATCAAAAATTTAGCTTTAAATATTCAGATCCTCAGATATTATGATTGCAAGGGTTGATTGGCAACAATTCTATTCAAGTATTTGTAGATAGGGAATCTACACAAAATTCTATACATAAAAACTAATAATTCAAATTTGGAGCAACCAATCATGCCATTAAACAATTTTAAGGTGCTGGTTGAAAATGAATTCAAATGCTCAGACCATTTGCTGCTGACTAAAAGAACCTCACAAGGAGTTATCATAAAATGATATTCCAATGCAATTGTAAGGTGATATGAAACCAGACATAATGCACTCGATTGCTCTCACAAGATGCAGCGACATAATGCTTTCAGTTGCAAGCATGTGCAAGACCGTATCAAACTATAAAGAATGGTCACATACATTGTAATATTTGTGTAAAAATAAATAAATAATAATTATATAATAAAATATTGATACTTGAATTGACATAAAGGGATAAGTGTCACTACAATTGCGCCTTTACGGTCGCACGCCCCATTCAAATCAAACAAACAGAGAGAGCGAAAGACAGAGCAAGGAGAGGAAGAAACAACAATGGAGAAGATGATGGAAGGGTAGTGTGTGTGGCCTAGCCAACCGGTTGAGACGAAGCCTCCGTGAGATTTCCATGCGAAGGAGAAGGGCAATACTTTAGCGCGTGTAAGAATTGTCGGAGTCGTAGAAGAAGACAGTTTAGCGCGAGAGAACTAGTAATCTAGCCGAACAAAGGAGAAGAAGATAAGGGTTGCTAGTGGTTTTGAAGGTACAAAAACAAAGATGCCTCAGTCAAGCAGCTCGTGCGAAGGATTAGAGAAAAGGAGCGGCCCTACCGTGTGGGAGAAGTCCGGACTCCAATGAGATTTCGCCACGTGTAGCTGGCGAACCCACTGTTGTTTGGTTTAACTCAATATGTGCTTCTGTCTGTCACCCTAGAAACCCCCAAGTTAAACCCTTCAAACCCTATCTCCCTATATATTTGCATTGCCATATGGACTAATTTTCCTTCACCTACTATTTCAATATGGTTCTTTCTAGTTGATAAAATCATAACCCTCCCAGGACTTTATGGGTTCACAACAGGTTTTAACATACCAATTGGCTAAATTGATAACTAAATTAAGCATGAAGTAAAAAATCATCATATTAAAATTAAAATATCGATTCTATAGTAATCATCATCCTACAAATTTTACCTAATTATCACAAGAGAAAAGTGCAAGAATTCTACTCACAAAGCAAGCTTAACACAATAGAAAACTTCATTAAATCAAAATAAATTCATTAAATATGTGTTTATAACAGAGACAAATCAATAAAGAATGCAACACTTAATTTTTTCCTTCTGAAAAAGAGATGCAAATCCCTCCAACAAAGCCTTCTACTGTTTCTTGCAATGCTGATACAAATCCTTTACAGATTGCACTCAAATCCCCTCTCCAATCTCTCAAGAAAAGATAAAAATCTACACTCCCTACTCCTATCTATGACCTCTTGACGTTCCTGGAGAATTATAGGACTTTGAAATGCCAAAAAATACCAAAATTCCTCTCCCAAACTATCCAAATCCGACAAATAACCCCTGGTTTGTACTAAAGTCGTCCAGACAGTTTTCAGCGCCTAGGCGCCATCTTCTCGATTTGGTGGGAGGACTCTAGCGCCTAAACGCCAGAAAGTGGCGCCAAGGCGTTGCCCCATAGCGCCTTAGCACCCAGAAAGTGGCACCTAGGCGCCAGTCTGCTGGCAGCCCTATTTTCTTTATTTGTTGTTTCCGCTCCAAAATGCTCCAATCATCCTACCTGTTATACCTGCAATAAAAACACAGAAAATACATATCTTTAAAGTACAATTTAATTCAAAAACAATTGCAAAAAAGTAAGAAATTTAAGCATGCTAAAAGATATCAATATTCGATTGGCGTTATTGGAGTATTATTATGATATTATTGTGGCATTATTGTTATGTTATTGAAGTATTATTTTGGTTGTATTATGGCGTTATTATTGTATTATTGTGGTGTTATTGTAGTATTATTGTGGTGTTATTGAGGTGTTATTGTGATGTTATTTTAGGTGTTAGGTGTTAGAATTGTGGCGATTATGTGTTGGTATTCGATCAGTGTTATTATTGTGTTATTGCAGTATAATTGTGATGATATTGAGGTGTTATTGCAATGTTATTGTAGTGTTATTAGTATTTTTGTGGTATTATTGAGGTGTTATTAATGTGTTACTATGGTATTTTTGTTGTGGTATTGCGGTATTATTATGATGTTATTGTGGTGTTAAAATAGTATTATAGTGGATCTATGGTGATATTCGACTGTGTTATTGTGGTGTTATTATGATTTTATTGCGATAGTATTGTCTGTTATTATGATGTTATTGTGATATTATTGTGATATTATTGAGTTGTTATTACGGCATTTTTGTGGTGTTATTATGTTGTTATTGTAGTTTTTTTTTTTTGTTATTATGGTGTTATTATTGTTTTTTGTGGTGCTATTGTAATATTTTATGGTGTTATTGAGGTGTTATTGTTGTGTTATTGTGGTTTTAGAATAATATTGCAGTGGTTTTGTGATGGTATTCAACTGGTGTTATTATAGTGTTATTGCGGTAATATTATTGTGTTATTGAGATGTTATTGAATTGTTATTTTGAGTGGTATTGTGGCAGCTCTATGGTGGTATTCGACTAGTGTTATTGTGGTTTTATTTGAGTGATATTGTTGTATTATTGTGTTGTTATTGAAGTGTTATTGAGGTGTTAATCTGGTGTTATTTAAGTGGTATTGTGATAGCATTGTGGTGGTGTTCGACTGCTGTTATTGTTGTGTTATTATGGTATTATTACAGTATTATTGTAGTATTTTTGAAGTGTTATTAAAATATTATTGCGGTATTATTGTAGTGTTTTGAAGTGTTATTAAAGTATTATTGCGATGTTTTATTGGTTTAGTGGTGTTATTACGACGTTTTTGCGGTATTATTGTGGTGTTATTGAGATGTCATTAAGTATTATTGAAGTGTTATTGTAGTATTATGATGACGTTATTGTGGTATTCTTGTGATGTTATTGAGGTGTTATTTGAGTGGTATTGTGGCGGTTCTATGGTGATATTTGACTAGTGTTATTACAGTATTATTACGATATTATTGCAGTATTATTTTGGTGTTATTGAAGTGTTATTAAATTGTTATTGTGGTGTTATTTGAGTGGCATCGTTGCGATTGTGATGGTATTCGACTGGTGTTATTGGAGTGTTATTATGTGTTATCACGGTATTATTGTGGTGTTATTTAGGTATTATTTGTGATATTAGTTGAGAGTTATTAGTGTTATTGGTGTGTTATTGCAGTGTTATTGTGGCGTTATTGTAGCAATGTAGTAGTGTTATTTTTGTGTTATTGTGGTGTATTTTTGATGTTATTTCAGTGTTATTGTGATGTTATTGGGGTGTT